ACCTCATTAGATGCAGAGAAGACCTTTGACAAAATCCAACACCTCTTCATGGTAAAAATCCTGGAGACATTAAGGATGCAAGGAACCTACCTCAACATAATAAAGGCAGTTTACAGAAAGCTCATAGCCAACGTTAAATGAACAGAAATTCAAAGCAATTCCACTAAAATCAGGAATAAGACAAGGTTGTCCTCTCTCTCCATATTAGTACTTAAAAAATCTATTTTCAATAAAGGAACCACAACTATTTCCTCACCTAGTCTGACTTTGATGGAAGAAGAAAAGTTTTCATGGACTTAAGCTGCAGAATAAGTGGGTGGTTTTTTTTCCCTTTGCTTTATGACGCGCCATTCTTAGTAGTGATAATCTGGTAAAAAGAAACAAGCACCATGTATTCACCATTACAACTTCTTAAAAAAAAAAAATATATATATATATATATATATATATATATATATATATATATATGCTAGACACATGACAGACATCACAGACAGAATGTGAAAAGCTTTATGGAACACTTGAGGAGCTTGGATGTTCTCTCTGATACTCAGGTATTCAGTGAGATGTACATTTTAGAAGCCGTGTTAGTAATCAGGGTGAATGTGAGCACCCGAGTCATAAACAGGAGGCTTTGCTGAATGGAGAAGCATGGAGCAGGTGAGGCTCCCCACGGAGTGGGGAAGGTTAGTGTCCAAGATGAATGCAGATGAAATCATCAGCCTCTTAACTCAGCCAACACCAACACAAAAATGGTATGTAATTCATTTCTTTCTATGTCTGCTGAGCAAAGACCAAACCTACTGAGTAGTATACAGAATGCCACATAGCATTCAAATTTTCTCATAATAGTGACCATTACAATGTCAAATATTTATAATACCTTTAATTTTAATTAAGATTGTATCTTGTGTGCCTGCACATATGTCTGTGGTTCTGTGTATTTGAGTGCAGGTGCGCCCCCGAAGCCACAATATTGAGTTGGTCTCCTGGAACTGGAGTTAGGCAGTTGTGAGCGGCTAACATGGGTGGTGGGAACCTAACTGAGGTCTTCTGTAAGAGCGTTGTATCTCCAGCCCCACTTTTGGGGGGGGGGATGTATCTTTGGCATTTATTTTGTGTTAGTCTTCCCTTTGGTTTTAAGTTTATCATCAGATATCTGTTTCAAAGTAGGTTATATTTGAATGCAATTTTGCTACATGTTGGTTTAAACAACATTAAAACCATGTATTTATCATTATGTTTTAAACAGAACTTCTCATACTTATATAAGAAATTATTTAGTTATTGTGATCATTTATTCTTTAAGATATATAAATTATGAAAATATATTTGGCACTCTTACTAACCAAGTTTCCTTAGGATAAAAAAAACCATATATATATATAATCTCCCCAAGAAATTCCTGTGTAGATGTATCACCAGAGAGCATCATGGTCATGTTAATGGGCAGCGTCCCAGTCTATTCTCACCTGTTCAAGGGTGTGTCTAGTTCCTGGTTCACAGTTACAGATGAGGAGCTGAAGCACACAGCACCCTCAGGTCCACATAGCCAGCAGCCAGCTGAGCAAACTTCAGCCCAAGCTATCTGACTCCCAAACACACGCACTCAGCTGATGGACTCTTGACACAGCCAAATGCAGGCTCTGGAACTGAGGACATGCAGAATTGGGAACAATCAGATATATTTGTTTCTCTTATTCTGAAGGGCTTGTTCCCCAAACACCACACTCCTATTTGGAAGAAGGAAGACAAAAGGGACTGTCATCTTTCATTTCAGTAAATTGTTCCTATCCTAACACAGGCTTGGCTGGCTTCTGGGTGTGATGTGTAGGGTTTTGTTTGTTTTTTGTTTTGTTTTTGTTTTGCTCCAGTGATGTTTGCTGAGGGGCTGCTCCTAGCTCAGCTTTGCCTGATTCATTTCTTCTTAATCCCCCTTATCAACAAGCCTGTCTCATCTGTCACCTGCTGAGTAAGCTGTAACAGGCACAGTGCCTCACTCACTGAGCCATGGTTTGTTAGTTTGTTTGTATGTTTGCTTTTAACAGCAAATGCTTATGGTGCCTGCATCTAGAGATGTGGTGGGCTCACCTTTTAAAAGTAGCTCTTTAAAGCAGCCGCCTGCTTTGTACATGCCAAGTGCTGCATAGAGCAGCTGTTTAAAATTCCCCCAGTTGTCTCTGGAAATGTCAACAAAATTACTGGTTTGATGTGAACTGACTGAGTTTTTAGAATTTTGGACCTTAAGGGAAGAAAAGCAGCAGTGGTGTGGGGGATTGTAGGGTTGGTTGTCCTGGTGGTTGGGCTTTGGGATGTGTTGAAGGAGGAGTTCTGCAGATGGCTGCTTTGTTATACCAACAGTGCTGCCAGTTCTTGTGGCTTGGGCTGTGCACAGAAGCACTGAGAGGCCAAAACTACTCCATCTTGGGACCAGCCTCCATCTTAAGAGAAAAAGAAAAGCCTGAGAACTTGACCCACAGCTGAACCCAAGCTGCACCCAAATACCAGGAAGGACCCCATGGCTTGTCCTTGGCTCGTACCCTAGAGTTAATCCCTGGCTATTTCCTAGCAACAATCAAAGATTAGTCTGATTGTTTGAGATGCACTTTCAGACCATTTGTGGTTGTTCGTGGTCTCTCTTCAGAGCACCCACCTGTTGGCTTACAATAGTCATTCTATTAGATGCTTGCCAGGCTGGACTTCCCCTCACTTGCTCCCATTTTCCTATAAAACCCTGTCCCAGTGAGGGTTTGGGGCTGATTCACCAAATTGTCCTGAGGGTTGGGGTAAGCTCAAACTCGAGTTTTAATAAGGAGACTAATGCGATTATGGTGGAAATGGCTCCTTGGTTGTATTTTGGGGTTCGTTTACACCTAAAGCTACCTCATTACAGCAGTGCCCTGTGTAATGAGGTAGCTTTAGGTGTCTTACTGGAAAGCAGGTGTATCTATGATGACTATGATCTTTGTACCCAGATATATCTGATTGGATAGACTGCTGTAACTTCTGTACATGTGATGTCAATGCTACTCGGAAAACAGGGGACACAGAACCTAAACATGTTATAAAGATTAAATCAGGCCTACTTAAAGCACTCCCCCCCTCTCACACACACATACACACACACACATATTCAATATACATCATATGTATACATATACATGCAAAAAATATACTCATTACACACATATGGAAAAGGAAATAATGCATGGAAGCCAAATAGCCATTAAATATATTGATTTTGTTGCATACAATCCAAAGTTACTATCTTATAGATATATAGGATAACTATGTAATAGGGAATTTAACCTTTTAAGTACTTCTATAGAAAATAGCAAACACCAAGTCTATCTCCTTTATCTGGCCTATGATATTAATATCAAGTACATGTTTGTCAATTCCATCATTCATGAACACATCCCATTGCATTGTGTTTGAAGGCTTAGACAACACTGACAGCATTGATGTATGGGAACCTGCGGCTCTTGCTTCCTCCTTTCCTCTATTCTATTCGATTTCCTGGTACTTATTAGATGTCCATTCCTTGTGCACTGTTAGCAACGCAAACTGAGGTCCGTGGCTCTGGCTGGCATTTAACCCACTAACTGAGACTCCTGACCTTCTTGCTTCATTAATGTCTGTCCTGATCATTCTGGCACTGTTCTCTGGATTACTCAGCACACAGACAGAGTCTCCATAAGTATTTGTGTAGTAAATGAAGGAACTGATATAGCTAGGCTCCCTGCTTCTGTCTTTGATGTAGTTAAAGATGAAAGCCACCAGCAGAACTAAATCTTAGTCCCATACAAAAGTCATGCCAGGGTGGCGACAGTTCCCAGTATAGGCTCAGGCATTTCTTGGACTTTGTTTCTGGTACGTTTTACGTGTGCCGTTAGGAGGCTTTTCCACTGCCTTCTGAGTTTGCCCTGTTTTGGGATGGTTTTGATGACAGATGTGGTTTCTTTCCAGCTAAAGGGAGGCAGTGAAGCCCAGAGCATAGACGTTAGATTCCATTCATACAACTGCAGTTTCAGCAGCCAGCTGTGTTCTCTTATTAGCCAGCTACCTAAAACTTCATGGCTTTATTTGCTCAGTGAGCTAATAATAAAAATATCTCAAAGGGTCATTGGAAAAAGAACTACATATAAAAATTTACCCAATGCTTGAGATAAGTCATTTAAACTTTGTAGGAATAAATGAGTAAACTCTATTGGAACTGCTAAGTTGCCTAAGCTTGACCAGTTAGGGTATTCATCAATATGCCAGTGTGGTGGCTTTGAAAATAAAACATATAACAAAACCTCCTTATATGGGAGCAACCTTCACTGGCTACTCTGGCTTTTCCCACCCTGAAACCACTGCTGCTTCACCTCGAGGCCAAGCTTCCCTGAGCTTCTCCTAGAGGGTGAAGGGGCACAATAGAACCACTAATGTAGACCCATTCCTGCATGGCACGGGGGCCTTCAGTAGATGACTTTGGATCAAGGATGCTCCATATCCATGGTGGGAAATTCTGTGAAATGGTGATGTGGTCTGAGGCTTTTCCTCAGCAGGCTCTCTCACCTTCCAATTCTGTGATAGTTAGAAGTAGAACAGATTTGATTCTTTTCCTATCGTGTATAAAGTGATCAATGTAGTCTCTAACCTGATCTTCATGCTATTGCATTTTTCTAGAAATACAACATGACGCTTCTGATCACAGACTCTGGAGGACGAGCTATAACCTCTGTAGTCGGGGAAGACTACTAACATTAGCCTGTGATTAGCTAGTCTGCAGCTCGGGTTTCAAGGTTGTTCTTAGTATTTCTGTGTCTTTAATATACCATCATGATTTTCTTTAACTTTTGAGAGCGAACAGTTTTTCTTCCTACACAAAAAGGAGTAAAGAAGGAAATTGGCAGCTCTCCAGTGTTTGTGTGCAGTGTGTTCTTTGTGCTGATTTCTCTGTTTCCCTTCTTCATTCCCTTCTTCATGTCACTTGATTATTGTCTTTGTGACAGACCAGGTTCAGGGAACAGTCACGATCCGGAATATCAGTGCCCTCTCTTCCGGTCTGTACCAGTGTGTGGCTTCTAATGCCATCGGGACCAGCACCTGTCTCCTGGACCTCCAGGTTATCTCACGTAAGTACATAGAATTAGAAGGTCAACTCGAGGTGCAGATGTCTAAGCTTTTTTGTGATGTCATAGAATACAAGGTGCTACATAACTGATTTGAGACTGTGAAGAGTAAACAAATCCTTTTCATTGTTGTTGAAAATATTTTATAAAAAAATCTTCCTACTTAAGTCTTCTAAATATGCTCATCATTGTGACAAAGTGGCTTTTCAGGATAATCAGAACCGAATAAATCTTTGTGTCATGGTGCTATGGACATGGCATAAATCTGCACATGACATGAATCTGTACTCATGGAGGAGCCCCCTTAATACTCTTTTGTTTCCTCCACTAATCCCTTGTGTGAGTATTCGGTTATAAACAAGCAATGTAGAACACTCCCTTTTTGGTGGGGTTCCAGGTTATTTTGATTCTGCCTGTAAAAGGGAATCATGTGACTGGGTGTGGCCACCAAGAATCCGAGATCCCAGACTCTCTTGGGGTGCTAAGGCAAGTTGAGTTGGCACTGTTCCCTGCCAAGCTCCAACTGCTGCTCTTCTGGGGCCTTGGGGGTTGGGGAGTATGGTTGACATCCTTCAATAGTTGCCAAAAGCCTCTCGAGAATGTCAGAGGCTAATCAACATCTAACTTCATGTGGATGGGACTCTTTAGTTGGTTTAGTACAATTTAAACAGATTTATTTGTGTGAATAGAGTTGTGTGGCATGTGTCATTCATCTGACTTTCATTTAGATCTACCTTAAATATGTTTTCCAGCCCAGCCCCGGAGTGTTGGAGTAATAGCCGGAGCCGTTGGCACCGGTGCTGTTCTTATCGTCATCTGCCTTGCACTAATTTCAGGGGCATTCTTTTACTGGAGAAGCAAAAATAAAGAGGAGGAAGAGGAAGAAATTCCTAATGAAATCAGGTTAGTCTGTCAATTCCCAATCTCTCAGAGTCAGGGTGCGCTTCTATTCATTTTAGAGTTAAGGTTTTTTTGTTGTTGTTTGTTTGTTTTTGCCAATCTTACTTCTCTTCCTGTGACGGTAATGAAAATGTCCAAATACCATTTGCTTGTTTTGCATATCACTTTTCCCTCATGGTCAGACTCATTTTTATTTGCAAAGATTCTTCATGAGTCTAAGTAGGAAGAAGAGCTCCCCTGTGACTCTACATCTGCAGTGTGATAGTGACTGTCACACCTGAACAGCTAGCCCATAAAACACATGTTTTATGTTGTCCTTTGTAATAGATGGGAACATGTAGAAGCAAAGGGGATTGCCTCACAGACATACCAGTTTCTATACCTACATATGCACCCCTCCATGATTTGGTAGGAAGGGGTCTATTATCCATTTTCAACATTATAATAATATACACTAGGCATCCTACTTTACGGAAAATACTTTTGGTTGATGTTTCTGGAGGAGCTAGGTTGAAGGATCCGTGTCTGTTGATGGCTTCCTGTCAAAAACTCAAGACAGCCCATCCATCACATACTGAGAGACAGAATGTATGTATCTATCTGATCTTTCTCTTCTTACAAAGCAGCTAGGATTCAATAATGGTGCCCTACTCTGATAACCTTATCTAGTCCTAAATACCAGGCAGGGCTCCTGCTTCTCAATGCCATAGTTGATTATATTTCACCCTCAAAATACCCCTCAATGGAGACCAATTTCCCACCCTTAATCTTAATCCTTTAACGGACATTCCAAGACATAAAAACTGTAGCAGGCAGCTTATAAAAGAATGCTAATGTGTTAAGGAAAAAAATGTCAGGATGGTTTTTAAAGAAAAATAATAGCTCATGGGATTTGAGGGTCCAGAGCATCTCAGACTTGGCCACATCATAGCCTTGTTGAAATGCTTTAATGACCCGCGTCTTCTCAGTGAGACATACTCAGCCTCTCAGGGTTTGGCCCCCTTGCTTCTCTGCTCTTCCTCGAAGCTACCTCCTCACTCTGTTCCATCTGTTAGCCTCTTATCATCATACCAAATGGTGTTTCTTCAAGCCCTACTTGAGTCTAGACACCATGAAATATAGATAGATGGATGGATAGATAGATAAATAGATAGATTGATAGGTAGAGGCAGAATCACCATGAATAACTTTTTTAAGTCCTCCACATGCTTAGCTTGCTTTCCTAGGTGTTTTATGACAAGTAATTTGGTGGATTTATTTGTGAATCATCTTCTTTTAGTTAAAAGAGATGTTTAACTATATATGGAAAAATAAAATTTATAAATGACTTTGTTTCATTTCAGAGAGGATGATCTTCCACCTAAATGCTCTTCTGCCAAAGCATTCCACACAGAGATATCCTCCTCAGAAAATAACACGTTGACCTCTTCCAATACCTACAGCAGTCGATACTGGAACAACAATCCAAAACCCCATAGAAACACAGAGTCATTCAACCACTTCAGTGACTTACGCCAGTCTTTCTCTGGCAACGCTGTTATCCCATCCATCTATGCAAATGGGAACCATCTGGTCTTGGGTCCACATAAGACTCTGGTAGTTACAGCCAACAGAGGGTCATCACCCCAGGTCATGCCCAGGAACAATGGTTCAGTCAGCAGGAAGCCTTGGCCTCAACACACACATTCCTACACCGTAAGCCAAATGACCCTGGAGCGCATCGGTGCAGTACCCGTCATGGTGCCTGCCCAGAGTCGGGCAGGGTCCCTGGTATAGGATGACTGAGGATGCTGTGTTCAGAAGAGAATAAACGGACTGCCTTCAGGCAAGGGGGAGAGTGGGATGGGTGAGTGCTGGAAAGATAAACTTTTGTTATGATCCCATTAGCAAAAAGCACAAAGAAGGCTGCGATGCTGTTCCCTGGTCACTGAGCGTGTGACGTGGCCCGGGGTTATTCCATCATGAAGACTCAAGAAGACTGTCTCCCCACCACAGTTGTCCTGAGATTCAGTTAAAACAAACATGCCGCATCTCAAGAGATGTGCCAAGCCAAGGAGAATGCTAGAAGCTGAGTAACACTTACCACCCAAACCGCGGTCCAGCTGGACCTGTTCTTTGATTCTTGCCTAACTTAATAATTTCTGGGACCTTTAAGTGCCAGGTGGAATTTACATAATGAAATTATTTTTTAAAAAAATAGGTATCCTTAGGGGCAAAACCAGGAGCAAGCTCATAGTATGGTCTGGTCTGGTCTGGTCTGGTCTGGTCTGGTCTGGTCTGGTCTGGTCTGCGTCCCACTCCCTTTGATGGCACTAGTGATGTATCCCATTGAGCTGGCTTTATCATAGAGGCAGTGTTGTTCAGAACACTGGCTAGAGGTGGGAAAAAATAAGGAAACTTCTTGTGAACACCCTCCACACACATATTTATTTCCTTCCTCCTGAACCATGAACTTTGTATAGGGGATTTTGCTATATCGACAGATTCTTGTCTGTTACACTCTGGGATCTCTTACAGGTCCATGGCAATTACTGTTCATGATTTCCTGAAAAAAAATATTTTTTTAAAAGAAAACTATTTTTTTTAAATACTAGAGAGACAGTGGACTAGGAAAGCAAGAACTTAGCACCTTGTCCAGTGATTGTATTCAGGGATTCAGCAGAGGGCCGACCACAGAAGAGTATTAGGGGATGGAGTAGGTAAAACCAGCTGGAGCCAGGTGGGACGGGCCTTTGCATTGCCAGCAGGGCCCCAAAGAAGCAAGATTGTGTATGGCGACCTTGCTGTCACACAGGCCACCATTAATGAGGACAGCGCCTCATGCCTTTTGTACCGAGGAAGATAATTGCCTCTTGTTCGACAAGTAGAGTTTAGTAGGTTATTACAGAAAGGGCAAGGGTTGTTTTGATTTTGTTTCTTTCAAAAGAATTTTTTTTTTTGCAAAAGAATAATGAGGGTTAGACAAATGGGGGACCTTCCCGTGTGCCCTTGGGGGTCTGCTCAGCATCTGGAAATTTGGGTGCACAATTTTCCCTGAACGCATTGCATACAAGTGTAAAAAGACTCTGCCTCCCCCCTTTTGGCTAATTACTTGGCTTGGCTGGCCTTGCAATTTACCAGATTCATTTACACACTCTGCTCTATATCGCAATGTGTCTGTCTGTCTGTACTTGTATTGGTGACTATCTTGCCTTAATCACTTTGCTTTAGGGCAACTCATGGTGATTTCTTCCAAGATTTGTTTTTAAATTGTTTGTACTACTGAGCCTACAACTTTCAGAAGACATCTTTTTTTCTTCTTTCTTACATTGCTTTGTCCCTCTTCTGCTATACTTCCTGCCTTCTTTCCCTGTCCTTTGGGCACAGTCATCACAGGGAGTGGCCTCCTGTCTTCAGTTATGTGAGTGAATGGAAGCCATCACTGTGTGCACATATTTTTCCAAGAGGGACACTCGGGACGTCTGTCACTTGTTGTGACCGTTTCAATATTGATAAGATGAATTTACTATAGCGTTACCTTCCCCCACCCCAATTTGATGATTCTTGACTTTGTAAAAATTTAAATAAATGAATGTCTATACTTTTTAAGGAAAAGTGAAAATACCATGTCACAGAAAAGATGAAACTGTTAGAGCTGTTTAGAAAGCATTTATCTTGTATTTCTTTATTCTTTCTAATTACCTAAAATTCAATAAAAGTTTATTCATATAAAACATGCTGTCATTAATTGTCATAGTAGTAATAGATACATGACTTTTAATGTAATACTCCTTTGGTGTTATATGCATTGGTCTAGTATGTAAAGTTTTGTATATACACATATACACAATTATCTTAATGGGCATTTATTACTTCCATAATGACTAAATTTTCTGTATTAGACTTTTAAGTGGATTCCAGCCACCACTAATAGGACTTTGTATGTAATGAGCTCTTTTGAACATCTATCTGTTTCCATGTCATTAATCTGAAAGTTCCTGAAATAGGATCCAGGTTTTCTTACTACTGAACCCCTCATCAATTCCCATAGTGAGTACTGTGAGCCTTGTACAATAAATAAATAACTGAGGATTTCAGAGCTGAAATTGCCAAATAAAACTAGGAGCATGATTGAATAGTAACTTACAATATATATTGAAACACATTTTTTTCTGAAATAAATGTGAGACTTCGTTTTCATATTTTTATGTTGAGATAATAGTACATTTACATGCCTATGTAAGAAATTATAGAGACCACAAGTTCCTTTAACTTAATTTCTCACCCAGAGACATCTTGAGAAGCTATTATTTACCACAAATGAACATTAATAAATTCATTAGTCTTGCTCAGAGTTCAAAACCTGTGCTTTCACTTGTGGATATATACTAATATACTTTTAATTTGTGAGACACTCTGTGGTAGTTCAGGCTGGTCTTGAACTTGTGGTCTGAGTCTCAAGTGCTGGGAATACCAGCATTCTTCACTGTACTTTAGTTATATACATATATGTGTATATATTTAAATATATATAAAACTCTCTGTACTCTAGCTATACATATCTATCTATAACTATCTATCTATCTATCTATCTATCTATCTATCTATCTATCTATCTATCTACAACTCTATCATGTATAGATTCATTTGACCATCAGAACAGCTGAAATACATTCCATATGCTGCTCTTTCATAGTCATGACCATCTCCCTGTTCTTGGTCCCTTGTTTCTAAAAGATGGCTACTCTGTGCGAGATCTCTGTTATTCTGTCATGTTGACAACGCCATATAAACGGGATGAAGTATGCAACTGTTAAGAATTGGTGCTTTCTCGGGATCATTTACTTGATAACCATTTATGTTGTTGCATATATGAAAAGTTGGTTTCATTGTATTGATGAGTAGCATTATGTGATGTCATTATACCCCAGTTCACTTCATCACTTACCTATTCAAAGATGAGAAAGACATTTGGGTTGTTGACACTTTTGTCTATCATGAATGTCTTCAGAGGTTTGTGTGCAGATTTTCATGTGAACCTAAGCTTTATCTCTGAGGGAAATGTCCATTGCAGTTTCTGACTTGTGTGAGGTAAACACGTGCTTGGTTTTGAAAAAGGAATAGAGTAACTAAGCAATTACACATCTCTTCTAGCAAAATGAGCAATTGAATTTCTCTGCTTCTACTACAGGTCTAAGTAGTATGGACAGTTTTAGTGTTAGCCATGCTGGTAGGTATTTAGTTATATCTCACAGTGGTTCTGTGATTTTAACTTGTACATTCCAGTGGATAATGATCCTGATGGGAGTGTATTTTACGTGCTGGTTATCCCTGTATCTTCTTCAGGGAAATGAGTGTTTTTGTATTCTGTCTACTTTAACATTAATTAATCTATTCATCTACTTTACATCCCAATAGCATCCCCCCTCTCCTCCCAGTATCCCCTCATGTAAGTCCTTCCCCCCAATCCACCTTCCTCTTCTCTTTTGAGAAGGAGAAGTCCCCTCTCTGGGTGTCATTCCCCCCACTAACCCCCTCTCCCTGCACATCCAGTTGCTGGATCCTAGCTAGGCCTAGGCTCATCATCATCTTTTGAGGCCAGCCAAGGTGGACCATTTAGGGGTATTGGATCCACAAACAGGCAAGCAACAGGCTCACAGACAGCCGTGACTCCAGTTGTTGGGGGACCTGCATGAAGAACAGTCTGCTAATCTGCTACTTATGTGCAGGGGGCTTAGGTGCAGCCCATGCTCACTGTTGGGTTGGTGATTCAGTCCTTTGGACGCTCCCAAGGGACTTGAGCCGTTGGTGTTTTTTTCAGGAACAGGAAGTTGTCTCCTGTACTGATGAGTTCAAGGCTATTCTGCACTTTCTCTTCTATTAGATTAAGTGTATCTGGTTTTACATTGAGATCTTTGATCCATTTGGACTTGTTTTGTGGAGGGTGATACATATAGATCTATTTGCATTCTTCTACATGCAGACATCCAGTTAGACCAGCACCATTTGATGAAGATGCTCTCCTTTCTCCACTGTATAGTTTTGGCTTCTTTGTCAAATATCCAGTATCCATAGATATGTGAATTTATTTCTGTGTCTTCAATTCTATTCCATTGATCAACCTGTCTGTTTCTAGACCAATACCATTCAGTTTTTATTACTATTGTTCTGCAATACAGTTTGAGGTCAGGGATAGTGATACTTCTAGAAATTCTTTTATTGTTCAGGACTGTTTTAGCTATTCTGTTTTTTGTTTGCTTGTTTGGTTTTTCATATGAAGTTGAGAAATATTCTTTCAAGATCTGTCCATTTAATCTGTAGATTGCTTTTAATAAGATGGCCATTTTCACTATGTTAATCCTAACTATCCATGAGAGATCTTTCCATCTTCTGATATATTTCTCAATTTCTTTCTTCAGAGACTTGAAGTACTTGTCATACAGGTCTTTCATTTGCTTGGTTAGAATAATACCAAGGTATTTTATGTTATTTGTGGCCATTGTGAAGAATATTTTCTCCCTAACCTCTTTTTTACCCATTTATCACTTGTGTAAAGGACTACTGATTTTTTTTTAGTTAATTTTGTATCCGGTCACTTTGGTGAAGGTGTTTATTAGGTGTTGGAGTTCTCTGGTAGAATTTTGAGGGTCATTTGATTTAGCTTTGATAATTGGTATCTGTCTAGAAAATCAACCATTTCATTTAGATTTTTCAATTTTGTGGAGTACAGGATTTTGAAGTAAGACTTAATCATTCTTTGAGTTTCCTCAATGACTGTTGTTATGGCTGCCCTTTCATTTCTGATTTTGTTACTTTGGGTACTGTCTCACTGCCTTTTAGTTTGTCTTAGGGTTTCTCTGTCTTGTTGATATTCTCAAAGGACAAGCTCTTGGTTTCATTGATTGTATTGTATTTTCTTTGTATTGTTCTGTTTCTAACTGATTGATTTCAGCCCTGAGTTTGATTATTTCCTGCTGGGTGTGTTTGCATCTTCTTTTTCTTCTAGAGCCTTCAGATGTACTTTTAATTAGTTCATATGACTTTTAATTAGCTTCTAATTTCTTTATGGAGGCTCTTAGTGCTATGAACTTTCCTCTTATCACTGCTTTCACAGTGTTCCCTAAGTCTGGGTATGTTGTACCCTCATTTTCATTGAATTCTAGAAAGTCTTTAATTTCTTTATTTCTTCCCTAACTCAGTGATCATTGAGTACAGAGTTGTTCAGCTTCCATGAATATGTAGGCTTTCTGCTGTTTCTGTTGTTGAAGAACAGCTTTAATCCATGGTAATCTGATAGGATGCATAGAGTTGTTTCAGCTTTCTTTTATATGTTGAGGATTGTGAGCTCTCACTCAGCCTAGCAGTCGCTTTCCTTCCTACTTGCTCTTAGCCAAGACTCGGAGGAGGGATGTAAGCAATGTAAGACTCTGCCACAAACCATGTTAGATAATATTCAAATTACCAGTCTCCCCCGCTCCCACTTTTTAAAGGAAATTTGTTTTACTATGTGTGTGTGTTTGCATGTGTGTGCACACATATGTGACACATGCACATGACATGTCCTGTCTGTGAAGGTTCAAGAACAACTTGTAGAAATCAGTTCTTTCTTTCCATCAGGTTGATCCCAAGAATCTAATTGAGGTCATCAGGCTTGGTGGCTAGTACCTTCCCCACTGAACCATCTCACTGACATATTCTGCCCTTTTATGGATTGTGCTTTTTTTTTTTTTTCATCAAGTCTAAAATCTTCATTTAGATCCAGGTCCTAAATATTCTCACCATTTCCCCCCTAAGTTGTTTTATGCTTTTACATTAAATTCCATAATCACTTTTGAGGTTCTTTTTTTAATAGTGAAGTCTCATTTGAGATTGATTATTTCCCTATGTGGGTCTGTCCTCAAGGAAATTGCTTTCCACTCTGTGAAATGGGCTGGACCCTCCCACATCAATCACTAATTAACAAAGTGCCCCCATAGACTTGCCTACAGCCTGGATCTTATGGAGGCATTTGATAGAGACTGTGGCAGCATGATACAGGGCCTGCATGGGTCTGCACCAGATGGCATCTGAAAGGAGAAGTGGACACATGCACCACCTATAACCCAGAAGTGATCTCCAGTTGACAACCACTTGCAAGTGAAAAATTAGTTTTCTTCAAGGGAGTCTCACTGGAGAAACAAAGCACTCTAAAGAGTAGGCCCAATGCCCAGCAGTTGATATCCAACACAAAATGGGCTCAACAGCAGCTTTGGAGGTTTTGTTTTTGTTTTTGTCTTATGTTAAGTTGGGTCATTTTTTGCTATTTTCTTACACAAGTCATTTCTTTAAAAATTTTTTTCAATTAATCATTTTATTTATTTACATTTCAAATGTTATCTCTCTTCCCTGTCTCCCCTCCTTAATTCCCTCAGCCCACTCCCCTTCCCTTTGCCTTTAAGGGTAATTCCCCATCCACCCACCCACTCCCACCTCCTGCCTTTAGCATCTCCCTTCTCTGGGCCATCAAGCCTCCACAGGACAAGTGCCTCCTCTCCCACGGATGCCAGATAAGGCAGTCCTCTGCTACATACGTATCGGGAACCAAGGACAGGCCACTGTATGCTCTTTGGTTGCTAGTCTAATCCCTGGGAGCTCTGAGGGGTCCAGTTAGTTGATATTGTTGTTCTTCCTATAGCTGCTCCCCTTCAGCTCCTTCAGCCCTTCTCCTCTTATAAGTCCTTTGTATCTAGATTAA